TGAAAGTTGCTATTTGCCTAGAGCAATCATTAGTTTACAAAGGGATAAAATTGTTCTTAGGAAGGATACTCCTAATGGCATTCCTTTTAAGGCAAGCACCTTGTTTCAATATATTTCCTGTTTAGTGTTTTTAAATCAACTTTGAGAACTATTTATAAGATGAGGAAGCCTTTTGTCTCTCAGGATGATTTTCTGATTTAACTGGTTTATCCTGTCCAACATGCTCATATATGTCTTAGTCTGTTACAGCAGCTATACCAAAATACCATAAACTGGTATTTTGTATCAACAAATTTATTTCTAACCGTTCTTCAGACTGGACTGCCCAAAATCAGGGTGTGGGCAGATGGTGTCTGATGAGGGCCCACTTTCTAGACTGACCTGTGTTCACTGTGACCTCATGTGGCAGGAGGGACAAGTTGGCTCTGTGGGGTCTCTTCTATGAGGGCACTAATCGCAATCACCAGGGCTCTGCCCTCATGAACTAATCACCTCCCAAAGGCACCACCACCTGAAACCATCACCTTGGAGGTCAGGACTTCAACACATAAATTCTGAAGGGATGTAAACATTCAGACCACAGCAATATATTAAACATTTTTATAGTGTTCAACTTTACACTAAAAGGAAGTGCTTCAGAATGCAGAGAGAACAGGAGGAAAGTACATATCTCATTCCCACACACACACACCCACTCCTTTCCTCTCTGACTCCTTATCAGAGCACTCATCTACCAAGGATTGAAATAAATGTGGTCAGAGTAAATAGGGGTCTCTTGGGCCTCAAAGAAAGAATGTGGTAGCAAGCACAAACTAATGTAATTTGCAATTCAGGTCATGAGCGTCCAGAGCCACCTCCTATCAGGGAGCTATGGCAAGAACAGTCACATAACTGAGACTAGGAAGAGAAGAGCAGAGAGTGAGACATACTCCTGCAACCAGCTCCATCCCTCTATAACTAAATTGGGACTTGGGGTAAAAGAAATAGGTTAAAGGTGAAGACAGCAGCTTGGCGTGAGTGAGCGGTATTATGCAAGCAGAGATGAGGAAACAAATGAGAGATGGCAGGACCAGGTGTCCTGGGAATGAGAATCTCCTGATTAGAGTCTCCCATGCTGAGCATCTGGGGTGGGACAAGTTGGTCAAACCAAACCCAATACTATCTTCTTCCAAGTCCAAGGCCAGTCCTAGCGATACACCTCTGCCTTCCCTGATGGATCATGGCTGTGTGCAGAGGGTCATAGAGAGATCTACAATGCCTCAAACTTGCCCTAGGTATTAATAACTACCAGCAGAGGAATGCATGTGGAACCAAAAGAGCTCCCAAGCAACTACGGGAATGGTGAATGGGAAACAACTGTCTGCAGAGCCAAATGGGAAAGCTATGGGGAAAGGAGAAAAATATAAGGAGAAAGAGGGAATGTAAAAGGAGGTCATAAACACATGGAGGACATAAAGTAACCCATTTTACACACACCCACACACGGAAAACAAACGAGCCAATGCAAAAAGAAGCAACTTTGTTCCTAAGCAAAGCTAAACCATATTCTTAGAAAACCTAACAGGTAAAAGTTAATAGGACGTTTCCATCACTCTTTTATACTTTTTTTTAAATGAAAATACTCAGTGTTGGTCAGGTTATAGTAAAACTGGTAAATTCATAAATCCTTATAAATATAAATTATTCCTGGTTGAATATCAATTTATCATAAGAATCAAAAGCTATAGAAATTCTCATAGCCTTTCACCCAATATTACTTCTGGGCTCTTAAACTTAGGGTAATAAAACTCAAGAAAAACTGTATGTATAAAAATACTCACTTCGGGAGGCCAAGACAGGGGGATCACCTGAGGTGAGGAATTCGACACCAGCCTGGCCAACATGGTGAAACCAAGCCTCTATTAAAACTACAAAAATTACCCAAGCTACTCAGGAGGCTGAGGCAGGAGAACTGCTTGAACCTGGGAGGCAGAGGTTGCGATGAGTTGAGATGGTGCCACTGCATGGCCAAAAAAACACACTTTTCAATGGTGGCTTGGGACAAACTAAATGTTCAAAAAAAAAAACAGAAGAACAACTGAGTTAAGGTACTGCAACCCAGCGGGGCATGGTGCCTCATGCCTGTAATACCAACATTTTGGGAGGCTGAGTTGGGAGAAAAGTTTTAGCTTAGGAGTTTGAAACTAGCTTGGGCAACATAGTGAGACCCTATCTTTACAAAAAACAAAAAAAAAAATTGTTTTAATTAACCAGACATGACATGCACCTGTAGTTGTAGCTACTCAGGAGGCCGAAGCAGGAGGACCACTTGAGCCCAGGAGTTCAATGTCGCAGTGAGCCATGACACTGTCACTGTACTCCAGCCTGGGCAACAGAGTGAGACTCTGCCACACACACAAAAAAGTATGACCTATTTAGTGTGGTATTTCGTATGCATTAATTTTCATCCACCCATTCCTAGTTCATAATGCCAATAGACTCTGTTACAGCCTGCTGTTATAATATTGGGTGTTTTAGGCTTAGGAGTGGGGGCTGGTCTCAGGAAACTCTCTCTCCTGCCTTCATTTCATCTGCCCTAAGGCAGGACTCGACCCCAACCCTTCCCTCCGACCAACACCCCCCACATCGTCCCCCTGCTTTTCTGATTATGGATCTTAAGACTACCTAAGAGGGTCCACCTCATACCCTGGAGAGAAGGAATGCTTTCATAAAAACCCCAGAAGACTGGGTTGGGAAAGTTTCCCCATAGCTGAACAGGTGGAGGGTCCTGGAGGATAGTGAGTTTAAGGAGGGCATGGAAGCTCCACGCCCCTTCCCCCATACCTCACCCTATGTGTCTCTTCATCGTATCATTTGCAATATCCTTTGTAATAGGCCAGTAAACATGTTTCCCTGAGTTCTGTGAGCCACTCCAGCAAATTAATCAAACCTAAAGAGCTGTCATGGGAACCCCAACTTGAAGCCAGCTGATCAGAAGTTCCACAGGTCTGGACTTTCAACTGGTGTCTGGGGGTGTGGAGGTAGTCTTGGGGACTGTGCCCCCCAGTCTGTGGGATCTGACACTCTCTAGGTAGGTAGTGTCAGAAATGAACTAGAGGACGCCTAGCTGGTGTGTGCTGCTTGGTGCATGGGGAAAGAAGTCCCACACATTTGGTAACTGTTTTTATACTGTTTTTCTGTGTTGGTGATTATTGTTGCAGTGTGAGAGAGAGGGAAAACACACTTTGGATAGTTTTTCCTCAGACACTTATTAATTTAAAATAATAAAAATAAAAATAAGACACTGCCACCCAGTGGAATCCTATGGAGTCATTAGAAATTATAATATTAAGTTTATGTAGCAACATGAAAAAATATTTACAATAACAATTTCTAATATTTATCAAATATCTCTAGATCATAATTACGACTGGGTAAAATACGCATACCTATAACAAAAGCCAAGAGGAAATGGGGTAGAGGAGACAGTTGATATGTTAGGAACTGTAGAATTGTGGTTGATGTTTCTTTCAAAATTTTTCCTCACTGATTTGTTGTCCATTAAAAAAATCATGAGGTCCAGCATGGTGGCTCACACCTAGAAACCTAGCACTCCAAGAGGCTAAGGTAGGAGGATGACTGGAGGCCAGGAGATTGCAATCAGCCTGGCAACATGACAAGACCCCACCTCTCCATAAAAAATAAGGAATTGGATGAGTACAGTGGTTCATGACCGTAGTGCCAGCTACTGAGGAGGCTGAGGTGGGAGGATTGCTTGAGCCCACAAATCAGAGGTTACAGTGAGCTATGATTATGCCACTGCACTACAGCATGGGCAACAAAGAGAGACCCTATCTCTACAAATAAAATAAAAACACATTATGGATTTGCTAAGACTAGTGGAAAAGGCAGAAACAATAAATAAAATGAAAGGGTGGAATCTCTTTAAACCCCTTTTAAACTATTCATAAAACCTTTCTTTTCTCTTCATCTTCCTACGTTACTAGGACTTCACAGAAGTCACACGCTTCTGCCTGGAAACACAGCTCATCAGTTTATTTTTAAGGTATACTTCTTAGGACCAAAACCTAGAACCACTAACCTGGCCCCCAATCTGCCCTCTTGCTCCCAGTGAATAACTGTGACCTTAAACACGACAGCCTTTCCCCAGCTGCCCAGGCCTAGCCTGCCCTTCACAAATACTAAAGAATCAAATGGAAATTAAAGGTGATAGCACCTTTATCTCCCTGCTGCTGGAAGCTGAGATTTCCCAGTCTACACCAAGCTATGATTAACAGGCGGCAATGCCAAAAACAACAAAGGAACTTCAAGGAAACTGTGCTAAAATACTCCCCCCAGTTTTAACTACATACATATTCTTTTCTACTCACCCCACCCCATTCTCCCTTTGTACTCCAAAACTCTTCTGAAGCTACCAGGTTGCATAAAGACACTAACAGCTACAGCTTAATGTTCAGAGGTTGATGGACTATGGAGTGGGCCAATACAGATCACTCTTCAGAAACAAAAAAGCTGTTTTCAGAAACAGAAGGAAATTAGATAATCCCAGCTCACATTACTTAATAGTTTTAATACTGGAAATTCTGTGTGTGTGTGTGTGTGTGTGCACGTGTGCTCGTTTTGAGGGAGTGATAGTGCAAATAAAGTAAAAGCAGCTCTCAGCCTCTCTGAAGATCATCTGCAAGACCTCCCCCAGTACAGCCTGCTCGGAGGCACAGTGCCAAGTGCTAGTTCTGGGAGGTTTAAGTTGAGCACCGTAAGTCTCTCCTATCTTCAGGTAACTTCCTTCTTCAAAGAGCATTCCTTAGAATTGCCATAGTATCACACTCAGTGATCACTTACCCATGTAGGAAGGATTCTCCAGAAAACCCACTCTACCGCCTTGCCCTCCCCTCCCCTCCCCTGCCAATTTGCAATCCCTTTTGGAACCACCCTAATACTTGGGCAGCAGATCTTCAGTCATGTGTCTGTGCTTTTGTTTCTCACTGCAAGGGACTTACCTTCATAAGAGGCAATGCAGTGTCTTCTGTTACAAGAGTTATTCCAGGAATTTCCTATAGTGGGGAAAACACACGCACAGCTGCTTAATGTGTGAACTACCACTAGCTCAAGCTTTCAGGAAGTGTTTTCTGCACAGACAGAAGCTGAAGGCAGCTTCCAGTTTCTAAACTCTACTTTAAAACCTTGGAGCACACAAGTAACAGTGAATACAGCCTATGTCTTGCCTCAGGAAGGGATATATTCTTTAAAGTCACAATAGTTGACAGGGTCTCTGAAGGAAAGGAGAAGACTATCATGAAGAAATAGAGAGCCATAGGGTACTTTTATTCATTTCTGTTAAAGAACAAATGAGGCAAATTATGTTTACACCAAATGTGATAAAGGGGAAAAGTTTCATTATCAATATCCTTCCTCTCTCTTTTTCTTTCACTTAAATGCATTACAGTTAGCCCCTTACCTCACTAGAAGGAACCAAGACTAACTGGATTCTTGCATGGCTTGACTGGATAATGTTTCTGTATCTCATTGTCCTCTGTAATTTCAGAGGTAAGAGCTCCCCATAAAAAGTTTTTGCAGTGGCTAGGTGCAGTGGCTCATGCCTGTAATCCCTGCACTTTGGAAGGCCAAGGCTGGCAGATCACTTTAGATCAGGAGTTCAAGACTAGCCTGGCCAACATGGTGAAACCCCATCTCTACTAAAAAAACAAAAAAATTAGCCAGGCATGGTGATGGGTGCCTGTATTTCCAGCTACTCAGGAGGCTGAAGCAGGAAAATCACTAGAACCTAGGAGGCGGAGGTTGCAGTGAACTGAGATTGCACCATTGCACTCCAGCCTGGATGATAGAGTGAGACTCCGTCTCCAAAGGAAAAAAAAATTTCTGCACCACTATCATCATAGTAAATCTGAGAGGTGAACGATTCATTTCAGGAAGGGCAAATGATAGCATTCTGCTAACTAGTGAGCATTAAAACTGAAATTTAATAAAAATATAAATGAATAAATGTTCAAGATGGCCCTTTATTCACTATTTTGAAAATTGTATCTGTATGTAATTATGTGATTAGCTACTCATCTGGTCAAATCAGCTTTCATTTCCTTAAAAAAAAAAAAGTAGATAATGTGTAAGAAAATATTTCAGGAGATGTAATGAAGAAATAAAAATTGGTATTTGTCTAGAACTTAAATGACCTGGATTTTAATGAATATTCCTGTGAAGAAAGGTATCATAGTGACAGAGAAAAATGTTCAGAACATGCAAACAACTGAGTTCTTCATTGTGACAGTAGAAAGCTATGATATGAATCTATTGTGAGCTTCATTTATCATTACAGAGGATACCTCAAAAAAATTAAAATTTATTATGGTTTTAGGTTATAAATAGCATTTTAAATGGGGTAGTATAGTTGTTTGCAAAACATAATTCAGGATTACCTATGTCTAAGGGCATCATATTTTCTATTATCTTAAAAAATCCAGTTGTCTCCTACAAAAGTGTGAAATCCATGTTTTCTCCTGTGGCAACTTTTTATTAAGGCTGTAGCATTAAGAACATTTGCAGATTAGATTAAGAGAGAAATAAATTATATCATAGCTGATAAGGATAGACTCCGATTTTCAAGATTAGAAGAGACCTTTAAGGTAACCTAGTCCAACCACTACAAGAAGTTTAAAGCAACATGGCAAACCTCAAGATTAGTTCAGTACAGGGAGGTTATAACCGCAGGTTTATGTCGCACTTCCTGTGTGACTTCCTAATGTCACCCTGTGCCTGTTCATGACAGCTGCTCCACCCTGCAGAATCTTGAGAAGTGCAAAAGGGAAGCATTGTCCTCAGGGTGATATTCTCATATCACATCCAATTAACAAGTGGCTCAATCTTTTAACACAACCCTGGGAACTAGTGGTCTGAGGTGCCTCCTGGACACTTTGAACACAGGACATAACAGCAGGGGGTTGGTAGGGGAGGGAGCGGAGATGTACATTTCCTGACTCTAGGGTGGTGTAACCTGCAGACTTCCTGCCATGACCACAGGGTCTGCATGTCTATTCTCAGGTGCTCCGAAAGAAAAATGGGGGTGCCTAGAGAAGAAACAAGCTCAATCCTTTCCCTTAGAATTCTAAGGTGAGGCATAAAAATCTAATAACCATGACAGTAAAAAACAAAGAAAGGGCCTTAGAAAAGCACTGCCACTGTGCATACCAAAAATTTAGAAATCAATCAAACACATTTGATACATCTTTTTTAAGGACTATACTTAGAGTCTAAACATAAAAAAGAGCCATCATTTATCCTACTACATAGTTTCCTATGATTGTGTTATTTAAATTCAATTTATTTTTCTAAATACTTTTTTGATATAAACTTCTGCCTCAAAAGCAAGCATGTAGTTCTAGTATCTAAGTAAGAAACAAGAGGCACAACTTTTTCAGGTACAGCCTATGCATTGTTTTTACTTGCTGGCCAGCAAAGGTCTGTCTACTGCATCACATTCAAGAGAAAATAAGCAGTGTTTTAGGTCAGCACGTCCTCATTTAAAAGGAGGCAGTCCAAACAGACAGGAAGGAAAGGTCAAATGAGGTTAGTGTGCCTAAGACTGCTGACTTTTACTGATCCTGAAACTCTAGAGTTATTACACATTTTTAATGGGGCTGAAAAGAGGGTTCATGAAGGTTGTTATCTCCCAAGTATAATAGCAGCGATCCAGCCATTCCTCACATATATAAACTAGTACATATTTCAATCCAGTCTAGTCACTTAGAAAATAAAAATGCCATGATAGAGGTTTAGTTCTGCCTGGTAGTAGAAAGAATAATAAATACCCTGTGTGTCTGCTCCTTTGGTTTTACTGTTTTTATACAAATGCTTTTGGCCAGTGGCAGGGATACACTATTACTTTTATGCCAAAAAAAAAAAAAAAAAAAAAAATCCAACTCAGTTCTTTTATCGGTGAAAACAGTAGTGAAATCATGACCTTGATGAGTATAAGAAGGATGTCCAACAACTAACCCACAATTGTGAATTGATTTTATTTGCAGATAGCATACACAGTGTTAACTTACTGTATTCCAAGTGAGCACTGAGGAATGTGGCAATAGTTTGTCCACGTTACTTGTCTCTGAATATACACTCCAATATGAAGAAGCTGCATAGATTTTTTAAAAGGCAGGGGGGATATGGTTTAATATGACAAAGACAGTCAGCATTGTAATTCAACCAAAACAAGCAAACCAACCAAGTTTTCATTGTCTTATCCCTCATCCTCAAAAAGGTAACCATTATGATTTTAGCTACTAAAATGTTCAGGTTCTGCTTTTTACAATGAGAACAATAATTTAGTACTATATCTACCCAAATGACATTATATCACTTCATACAAAACCAGCCAACACAAAACTGGGCTAAGAAAGTCACATCTTTCTGGAAAAAAGTCACTAATAAGGTTATAGAATCAAGATCCTATCTTGTATCTCATCAATCTCTGTACAGCCATAGCTTCTTAGAAAACCACAAGAGAATGAAATTTAATTAGCTGCTGACTGCAATAGCATTTAAAAAAAAAATGTTCTCTTAAGCAGCATTTGGACAGGTTGAGGCATTCATTATCAATTTACTGCTTTCCCTCAAGCAAAAAGGTCAGCTATTCAACTTAAGGTGCAACATCAGCAACACTTACCAATTATGAATTCCTGAATGAGGTCAAATGAATGGCAGGCAGAAAAATTCTCAGAAATCCATTGAATAATCTTTAAAAAGTCAGACAGAACTCTGTTGGTATTTAAATCTGCTCTCTGCTGCCATTACCAAAGAAGCACAAATATACATGAATCTTTTGCATTCTATATCTATTTTGGAATTGCCTAAGAATACACTCACTTCTACACTGTCTTCAAGATAACGTAATGCAATCCTGGGTAGAAAAACACTATGTAAGTGAGATCCTTTTTATACATCTTTTTAATAAATGTCCTTGGCAGGGATCCAAATAAACGTTCTTCAACCGAATGCTTGTATTAGAATAGGTCATGTTATACCAAAGCACTAGTGGAAAGAGCTGTGGGATACATGAGAAAAAGGCAAAACAAAACCACTAGGCTTGGAGGCAGCAGAGCTGGGCGTGATTTCCAGCTGGGCCCTCCGTTGTGAATAGGGAGGGACACACCAGTTAATCTTTGTGAGCATGGCTGTACTGCCTCCCGAGGGAGGGATAACCCCTGCTATACCATCAACTCTCTCATCTCCATAATCATCCTCACCTGCTAGAGGAATGTTTGCCATCTCAGAACTGACAGATATTATAAGGCACGCCAAGCCATGGTGCATACTTGCACTTCTGCTACTACCAGTAAGCTGTTTTATTCAAAAGCTATTTATGTTTTTGTACTTATTTTCAAAATTAGGTAATTTAATACAATATTACTGTGGACAAGTAAAACGTGGATGCAGAGAGTATTGTTGGGTCAGTAAAAGTTGAATGCTTTGGAAAGACTCAAAGGCATGTCTCTAAAACACTAAAAAACTAGGTCTAGGGGAAACAACTATAAAAGATTGTTTTAAAAAAATGCCTGATATACAGATTGTCTTGTAAGGGTCTTTAAATTACTATATCCTTAGAAATAAAAATTTTTAAAAACTAACAGGGAGTTAGAGATAACTCATTACTAATGCTTTTATGCCAAAAAAAAAAAAAAAAAAAATGATGCTGAACTTCAATTCCCAAAGAAAGGCTTGAGTCAAAACCTGAGTGAATAATGTGCATTTTTATGTTTTAGGTTAACATAAAACATCTAATGTCTTTTTAAATTTTTTTGTAGTTAACCAGCTTCTCACTGATCTTAACCACATCTGATGAAGCAATTTCTCTGACTTCACAGGATAGCTGTAAAATAAAATAACGCAGAATGTGCATGGAGGTACTTAATAAACTCTCGTGTGAAATACAAATGTAAGCTATCTTTATCAAAAATATAATAAATACCTGTCACCAGATTTTAGTCCTTTTGATAATTATAGATCAAATACAGACCAGAAGAAAAAGTAGATATTTAAGAAACTCATTATTTACTGAGCTCTTCATTGTAATGTTACTGATACAGCTAAACATTTATTACCAGTACGGAAAAGGGAGTACCCAAAAGAACAGAAACATCCTGGGTCTGAGACCTGGTAGGGATCTGTTACAAAGCAGCACAAAAGACGACGATGTTCCAAGTCAGCAGAAAGGGCATACACAAGTCAGCAGAAAGGCCATACACTTCAATTGTTACTAAATAAAAATAACTCCTGACCACTTTCAACCACAAAATAAGTATGTTCAGTGTTGTCTATCTGCCCATTTTGAAACATGAACTATCTTCTCACCTGGCCTTCCAGGAACTGTGCACCTTGACCACAGGAGAGCGCACAGTGCAATGTGGCCATCTTCTCACAGTCCAAGCGGGTGTTCTGCAGGAGCTGTAATAAAGACGACTGGCTGAGCATCACTTTATACAGCTTTCCAGAACAACAATCCAGTACCAGGGACCCTGGCAGTGACTGTAAGGGGCTATGAGGTAGCATATCAATCATTTCATTATTTCCTGGCAAAGAAAAAAAAAAGTAGATCAGCAAATAAACTCCTTTTACCCAAACATAGATATTAAAGTCAAAACAAACTCAAATAGGCCATCTCTACAAGAGAAAAACTACAGCCATACCTGTCAGAAAGAGACTGTGGCAGATCAGGTCTGGATGTTGAACATTAAGTAGGTGGAAGAAATGACCGGGTAAGTAAACGGCCACATAATAGTCTACAGAAGAGAAAAATTTAAGTCATCTACATGTGGTAAGAGCTGCACAGGTACAGAACGTCACACTATCTCTACTTTTCTCTGAGTACCTCAAAAGGCAAAAGTTTTACCAGTGTAATAACAAGTTATCTAATGACAGACCATTTCTTTTTTTTCCTTTTCTTTCTTTTTGAGACAGGGGTCCCACTCTGTCACCCAGGGTGGAGTGCAGTGGAGTGATCTTGGTTCACTGTAGCCTCAAATTCCTGGGCTTAAGTGATCCTCTCCACCTCAGCCTCTCAAATAGCTGGAACTACAGGCATGCACCCATAACACCCCACTAATATATTTTATTTTTATAGAGCTGGAGTCTCGCCATGTTGCCCAGGCTGGTCTCGAACTCCTAGGCTCAAGCAATCCTCCTGCCTCGGCCTCCCAAAGTGCTGGGACTGCAGGCATAAGCCACCATGCCCAGCCACATTTCTCTTACTAATCAAGCCTCATTTATTCCTATCTATGGTTAATTTTCTTCAGATATTTATCTATGGTTATCTTAATTTATACCTGTAGTTTTGTTTCTAAGTGATTTGTGGCTTTATGTGAATCTAAATGATCTCAGAGCAAACTAGAATAAAAAGCATCAAGTAACACGAATTACTCCTTAACCTGATAGGCTGGAAATAGCTTATATTGGGAATTTTCTTCATAATTTCTGCCAGTTTGGAGAAGCTCTAAAATTTGGTTGCCCATGTTCATTGCCTGATCATCATCGTCATCAGTAGCAGGAGCATTTTGTTTAGAGAACCTTTAAACTGATATTCATCAGAACAATCTCTGTAGAAACACTGATACTTGGTGAAGTACTAATTTATTTCCTTGCATATCAAGCTGACTAGAATTCACACCTTCAGTCCCTGCACTAGATATTTTTGTACCAAGAACATTTGCACTCAGATGGAGACAAGGTATAAAAAATAGGTTTCTGGAGAATGGAAGGATAAAAGTATCCCTTGCCAATACTTTTTCTAGGAGCTTAAAAAACAGAAATTCACACAGTAGTAATTTTATATAGATGAGACATTTAGATTATAAGTGAGCCAGCTAGACTCCTTTTCCTAAGAAGTAAAAGAACACATGCTAATCATTTGCATAGAAGGCGTTCTGTGGAAAGAAAAGGAAAGAGGACCTAAAACTCAAACCAGTCGACTTACAAGTGTCCTTTCAGTCAACGTGGATTAAATGGTGCTAAAGTGCTTAGCCCAAATGGTTGCGATCATTTTATTATGGCAACGCTTTACTAGAAAAACACAAACAATATGGTGGGACATGGAAAGGGTGTCAGCATCAGATAACCTAGTTAACGTCTCACTGTACCACTTAACCAGTTAATTAGGATGGCACTATGTCCCTGGCAAGATGGCATTTGGAAATATATGACAGTGATTTGGGTGGTCACATCATTAAGCGAGGGATGGGGAGATTCCTATTTGGCATTTGGTGAGTGGGCTGCAGGGATGTATGTTCAGTCCCTCAATGAGCAGGGAATTACTGTCTCACCAAAAGGGTCAATAGTATCTGTGGCAAGCTGAATGACGGTGCCTGAAGATATTCTTGGGCTAATCCCCAGAGCCTGTGGACAGGGTAAGAGAGACCCTGCCGATGTGACTAGGATCTTGAGATGGGGAGACTATTCTGAAATACCCAGGCAGACCCAGGTAGGCACAAAAGTCCTTATGAGAGAGAGATTTGTCTAGAGAACAGAAGACGACCATGCGATGAGGACAGTAGTTGAAATGAAGTGGCCACAAGTCAAGAAATACTAGCCTCTAGTCAGGGATGTCCAACCTTTTGGCTTCTCTGAGCCACAATAGGAAGAAGAATAATTGTCTTAGGCCACACATAAAATACACTAGCGACAGCTGATTAGCTTAAAAAAAATTACTGTTCTAAAACAGTTTACAGATTTGTGTTGGGCCACATTCAAAGCCATCCTGGGCCATATGCAGCTCACAGAACCCAGGTTAGACAAGCTTGCTCTAGAGGCTGGAGGGAGGATGCAGGGAACAAATTCTTCCCTAGAGCCTCCAGAAGACACCAGTCCTGCCCACACTTCGGTTTAGCCCTTTCAAGACTCATTTCAAACTTCCGACTTTACAGAACTGTAAGAGAATGTTTGCGGTGTTTAAAGCTCCAAGTTAGCAGTAATTTGTTAGAGCAGCAATAATAAACTAATAAAGAATATGCTAACTAGCCAGATTTGATCATTCCACAATGTATATAGGTATCAAAACACTACATTTTACTCCGTAATATATACAATTACTATGTGTCACTTAAAAACAAAATAATGTGGGGCATTGCTTATTGACTGTGTGCGGTGGCTCATGCCTGTAATCCTAGCACTTTGGGAGACTGAGGCAGGTGGATCACCTGAAATCAGGGGTTCAAAATCAGCCTGGCCAACATGGCAAAACCCCATCTCCACGAAAACCACAAGAAATTGGTGGCATGAGCCTATAATCCCTGATACTCAGAGACTGAGGTGGGGGATAGTTTCATCCCAGGAGGCAGAAGTTGCAGTAAGCCAAGATCATACCACTGCCTCCAGCCTGGGTGACAGAGAAAGATCCTGTCTCAAACAAACAAACAAGTTTGCTAGGAAGATTTGATGAAAGAACTCTGTATAAATTTGCTATATTTTATTTGCTGACTTTTCTAATAAAGATCTTATATGTTGAAGAAAAGGTACTACAGATAAGCAGAGGCTATAGGTACAGCCATACACATGTAGAATGGATATTTTAATTCTTATAATTTCAAGAAAATACTTTAGTCACCCATATTTAGTTAAAACTTTAATATTTTAAAACATTTAGACTGAAGCTTTATATTTTAAAAATATAAGACTACTGAATCGAAAAGTGCTATTAGATAAAAATCAAATTCTATGAATAAATATTTTTAAATTACATACTCTAGGATTGTACCACTGACAACACTAATTATCTTTTCTAGTTTGGGCAGTTATGTTGCATACCATTTGGGTGACTTACAGGATCATTTCACTTCATTTTCTCTCAGTTTATTCTGGACTGCTTTAGAGAAAAATACTAAAACAACACCTCTAAACAAAATGCTTGATGAAGTTTTAGTTTAAATAAAATACTAAGAAAACAAAATAACAAAATATTTAAAGAAACTGTTAATCTAGTGTCCCTGATAAAAGACACTGAAATACGCCTGAGCACACAGTTCACTCTGAGCCTCCATATCATTATCTGTAAAATGGAGATAACATTACCAACCAGAATTGCTGTAGGGAGCAAAATAACAAGTAAAATATACTTAACATACAGTATTCATTAAATAAATAGTAGTTTATTTATAAATGTATCTTTTAATCAAAGTGCTTGGGGTTCATGAAAAAATTCAATAAATTTTTAATATTTTAATATAAGCCCATTTTAATAGGATGACAGTCTACAGAAATTGTATGTAATTAATATCAAAAAATATATTATTCAAAAAGCAATATTGTTATCATAAAAACTACCTGTAGAAGAGCTTTAAACTGCGGTATGATTTTGGGCCTGTAAAATGTGCTTAAGAAGGAAAGACAACGTATGTAAGACAGCCTATTTTGACAAAGCTTGTATTGCTGGCCTTTCCACATGCTGAAGACCACAGATTAAATCTTTCCTGCCCTTTGCAAGTCATTCCCAGGGGTAAAAAAAGGAAGGATACCTTTGCCCTCACAAAACACTGTTTTCTTAGTGGAAAGTTTCCCACATCACTCTTGAGATGGGATGTTGATAAAGCATTGCTGATAAGAATCAAGTCCCAGACCCAGGAAACCTATAATATTTATCTCTCTTATCACAGGAAGCAGTGGAACCAGGCTTCCCTAAGGCAATTTTCCACAGATTCAGAGATCATGTTAAAATTTGCCCATTACTAGCCCACTCAGCATAAGTATCCAACGTCATCAATGGTATCATTCAAAATAAAAATCACTTTGCTCAGTTTCCTCACATTGTACTCTCCCAAACCTAGGTCATGACAGTGGATGGACTCTGGAATAGAGATGGAAAAAGATATAAAAGAATTATGTGCTCTAAACCCAAAGCTCCTTTTTCAAAGGAAATGTTCCATATACCATGTTCCATATGTAAGCAAGTAAACAATTACTTAGTCTTGTGCTAAACTGTGCCCCACATCCCAACTGGCATGGAAAAGCAGCTTTCAGGAGGGAGATACAAAAAAAAACCCTTTCTTTATTTTCTTCATTATCCTCAGGTTCCCTTCGTCATATTTGCTGAATGAAAACAACTCACTCAAGCTGATCCATAAATCATTAATGGGATTTGGAAGCTTTTCAAGATTAGCAACAAGAAACAGACAATTTCCCAGAGGCCCCTGTCCCCTCTATAATCAAGGGACAACATGATATATTATTTCTCATGGGCTATTCAGGAATATCTCATACAAATCATTTTTATGCTAACAAGTGACTTTTTAGACTGCTACCAAAAACATAAGAAAGCTCACAGCCTAGGTTCTCTGAAAAGGGAAGACACCTCCCCCAATCCTTTCAAGCCAAAGACTAAGGAGTTCAGAGAGAGGGGTGTGTTCCAGAGAAAGTCTTCTCTGGTAAGACTTCAAGTGGGTCATTGATTGTCATCACAATCCAAGTCTCAAAGAGGCATGAGAAATGGGATTGCACAGAAGGTTAAGGTATACCATGCCCAGGAAGAAGGGTTCAGAGCAGGGGATGTGATCTCTCCGTCACTCACCAAGGTTGAGAAAAGTAATGCCCTTTGTCATGTGTGAGCCAACATTCTTGAGAGAAGTGGTGAAAGTCTTGCTATGTCCTGCAAAGAGAGAACATGAAGCCAGAGAATGTTAAACAAAGAACTGGAACTCCACCCAAGGCAGTGATTATATAACACTCTATAAATTTCAGTGACCATGAAACTGGTAAGCGGGCATCTTCTGACTTCTAGATTTCATGGTTCCCCTCATTCTCCAAAAACCAGCACTGAAGGCAGATCATCTGAGGGCAGTCACACTCCAGTAGTTGTTTTGGGCTTATTATAATCTTAGACCATGACAGGTGAATTGTTCAGGAAGCAGAGGATCTGAAGGAATTTAATTAAGGATCCAAGAGAGGAATTTAATTAAGGATCCAGATGGCTCATTGGCCATCATTCCTAAAGGCTCACTGTCACACACATGCAGTCATTAAGACCCTCTGAGTCTTCTCCAAATCATTTACAAATCCCACTTTTAGGTAGGAAGGGAATTAGTCCAGCTAATAACCTCAGTGTATTGGGCTTTCCTCTCTACTTTTCTAACTCTTACTCTTCAGAAACATTTTATTTTATTTACTGGCTTTGATCACTAGATTAACCATTAGAAAAATGTGTGAAAATTTTCCACAAAAACTTCAAACAGACAATTTAAGTATGAGTAGTATATATGTCAGTTCTAAAGTTACTTTAAAACTTTTTTTTACCTTGATCTCTAACCTTGGGAGACAATATTAGGTCCATCCATAAAATAAGTAGCTCTGATATGGCTTGGCATTTTTTTTAATATTGAAAATTTTTCATCTTAAAAATATTTAAATACACCCACAGTATGTACTACGCACACATTCACTTTAAGTAAACAAACAAAATAACTACTCCTTAGCACTCTTCAAACTAAAACTATTACAGGGCACACTATGATCAACTACAGAATCAGGAGATATTAGGCATCTGACTGCTGCTCTGCAGACTGTTTATCAGTATCTTAGGCTATAGATGTGTGAAATGGAATAAATGTATCTTAGATCTAAAACCTGTTGAGGTCTGAGATCATGGACACCTTTAACTAAAACTGTATGTAACTCTGTAAGTTAAATCTATAGCTACTTTCCAATAAGCAATAACTAAAAAGAAAACACACTTTTGGCAAATATCTCCCTTAGGATTGGTTCACAAGCCTAGAAAAAGATATAGGCCAGGATAAAAATATATGATATATAAAAATAACTAGCTAACTTGATATCAACCATTGGTGACTTTCTTTAGGAAACATGTATCCTATAAGTGTACAGGTATAGAATGAACTGATAAAAATTGAATTACAAGGTAATAATACTCTCAGCTGGGCATGGTGGCTCATGCCTGTAATCACCACACTTTGGGAAGCTGAGGCGGGTGGATCACTTGAGCTCAGAAGTTCAAGACCAGCCTGGGAAACATGGTGAAACCCCATTTCTACAAAAAGTACAAAAATTAGCTAGTATGATGGTACATGCCTGTAGTCCCGGCTACTTCATGGGCTGAGGAGGGAGGATCACCTGAAACCCTGAGGTCAAGGGTGCAGTGAGCAGTATTCATGCCACCACATTCCAGCCTGGGTGACAAAGGGAGACCCTGTCTCCAAAAAATTACTAATAACATCACTGTTAAGAGCTATCTAACTTGCTATTTGGAAAAAGTTATTATGTTAAAGTAACAAAGAAGACATGAAAAGTACCTTTGTGAATGTAAAACACTGAATACGTAATTTGTTCCCAAGCAGCACACTTCGGGCTGTAACATACACACAAACTTCCTAGAAGAAAGAAGGTATTTAGTAGAGCTTAACAGAATGTATGTCACAAACAGTTTCCTAAACCACTTAGCCTTACTTCTTTTCCTTTAGATGTCCTGCCTCATCCTACCTCATAGATTATTCCCAAATCCTAGAAGTGGTCTATTAACAGGTTGCTAAGAACTTTCAAAGCAGTAATTCTTTAGTGCAGACTATAAGCAACGTATTGTGGCAGGCTATTGAAGGATAGGAAATTAGCAGAGATACATTCCTATATGAAATCATAGGATTCTAGACAGTTTCCAAAGCTTCATGAGATTCTGCTAGTATGCATGTATCGTCCTGCCTTCTTATCTAGCTCATCACCTTCAAATTACTACTAACAGCTATGAACACCAGTGTATCAAAAATGTATTCTCTTCACAGAAAGTTTCCAGTCTCTAGTTTAGCTTGATTGAAAGACAAAGTATGATCTATACTATGGATCAGCGAGAACAAATGTGGTGAGTCTGCATCCATCCATAATTGAGTCACTGAAGGCACTGGCCCCAGGCCAAAGGAGAATTCTTGGCATAGAGTGGCCTTTCCAGGTGAGTCTTGACCCCCTTCACCTACCCCATCACTCCAGAACACCCTCAGCCTTCCCTACCTCTCTCAATGTGTGAAACTGTACATTATCTCTAGCAGCTGCTGCTGTATGGATAGACTAATGTCCATCAGTGACCTACATATAAGTGAGGGACATTATGCTTAAACAGATATGTTTATTCTAATGCATTTATGTGAGTAACTGAAATAGGAGATTGCCAGGTAGAAAGTAACTTGACAAGGAATCAGGAAACCTGAGTTCTAGTCCCAGAGCTAATGTTAACTAGCTGTGTGAATTCAACTGCCACCAAACTTCAGGGGATTTCAACATTTCCTCTACTTTACTCCATTAGCTTCTTTATCAAAGAATCATGGTAGAAAAAAAGAAGTCAATTTCCCCTAAGAGGGCTATTCAAGGACATTTATAAGCATTCTGTTATAATACTTATCAATTGTGACTATTTTTAATGACATTTAACACTGCAATATATTGCCATCAGTACATTTTACTGCAATATCTTAAACACAAAACAGCAGAAAAGAATAACTTCATCAAATAACATGGTAACAATTCTATTAGATGTAAAATGACTCATGGTTACTGAGCACACAATAACAACATTTCTTTACAATTACAGCTGGCTCATTGAGAATAAAAGTAATCTATCACTAAACCATAAACAAAATAATAAGAATTACAAAAGTCTCATATACCACTTGGACTGCTTTCATACAGTAAACATTATCTGCAAAAAACTACTAGTTTATCCATTCCGTTATGAACTATAATCACAAGGAACATGAATTGTTTTGAAAAAAGACAGACTTTAGACTCTCTAGTAGTAAATAAAAGTTAAAACACAGCACCGTCATTTTCCTTTAGAAGTAGTTTTTTAAGTAATGAATACTGTCAAGGGAACATGTTCTTCTTACACAATTCTCAAATAGTAGTGATTAAGTGAACTAATTTCACAGAGGGTTAAATATACTCATACTTATTCACGCACTAATTCCTTTAGGATTTTATCCTGGGAAATGAACATGACCACAACATAGATCATAAGCTCCATTCTAGCAAATTATCTGCACACCACCCTTTAGAGAATAAAAGTTTTTTCTTTTCATTTTGAAAACAGTGAGATGCAGAATAAATGTACCTAATTATATATTCTAAGAACCATATCCAGAACTTATAAGCAAGTATTTCCAAATTGTTAGGTTATGCTTAGTTGTCCCACTCAATCCCAAAGGGGAAAAAAGACACAGCAAGGTGAAATGGTATGTACACAGGCTCTCTGAAGCTATCCAAAAGAACTTTGACAATGGAAATGTTCTATACCTGGTAAAGTCCAATATGGTGGCAACTAGCCACATGCAGTGACTGAGCACTCAAAATGTAGATAGTATGACTGACATACTATTTATTTATTTGAGACAGAGTCTCACTCTGTTGTCCAGGTTGGAGTTCAGTGGTACAGATATGGCTCATTGCACCCCTGACATACCAGGCTCAAGCAATCCTCCCATCTTAGCCTTCCAAATAGCTGGGACCACAGTCATGCATCACCTTGCCTGGCTTTTTTATTTTATTTTTTTAGAGATGAAGTCTCACTGTGTTGCCCAGGGTGGTCCAGTGATCTTCCTACTTCGGCCTCCCAAAAAGCTGGTATTACAGGATTTTTTTTAATTTTAGGTTCAGGGGTACATGTGAAGGTTTGTAATACAGATAAACTCATTAACACAGGGGTTTACATATTTATTTTTATTTTTTATTTTTTGACAGAGTCTTGCTCTGTCCCCAGTCTGGAGTGCAGTAGCGCAATCTCAGCTCACTGCAACTTTTGCCTCCCGGGTTCAAGCGATTCTCGTGCCTCAGCCTCCCAAGTAAGCTGGGACTACAGGTATGTGCCACCATGCCCAGCTAATTTTGTATTTTTAGTAGAGACGGTTTCACCATGTTGGCCAGGCTGGTCTCAAACTCCAGACCTCAGGTGATCCACTCGCCTTGGCTTCCCAAAGTGCTGGGATAACAGGCATGAGCCACCACACCTGGCCCACAGGGGTCCTGATATCCAATAGTTACTTTTTCTGCTCCACTTCCTTCTCCCACCCTCCATCCTCAAGAAGATCCCAGTGTTTGTTGTTCCCTTGTGTTCTTGAGTTCTCATCACTTAGATCCTACTTTTAAGTGAGAACATGAGATATTTCATTTTACCATTCCTGCGTTAGTTTGCTAAGGATAACAGCTTCTACTCCATCCACGTTCCCACAAAAAACATGATCTCACTCATTTTTATGGCTGCACAGTATTCCATGGTGTATATGTACATTTTCTTTATCCAGTCTGTCACTGATGGGCATTTAGGTTGATTCCACATCTTTGCTATTGTAAGTCATGCTGCAATGGACATTTGCGTACATATGTCTTTATGATAGAATGATTTTTATTCCTCTAGGTATAGATGTAGAATGATTTTTATTCCTCTAGGTCTTTGTTATGAAATCTTTGCCCATTCCTATGTCTAGGATGGTATTGCCTAGGTTTTCTTCTAGAATTTTTATGAATTTTGGGTTAAAGTCTTTAATCCACCTTGAGTTGATTTTTGTGTATGCTGTAAGGAAGGCGTCCAGTTTCAATTTTCTGCACATGGCTAGTCAGTTAACTCATCGCCATTTATTGAATAGTGAATCTTTTCCCCATTGCTTTTGTCAGCTTTGTTGAAGATCAGGTATTCATAGGTGTGCATCCTTGTTTTTGAGTTCTCTGTTCTATTGGTCTATGTGCCTGTTTTTATACTGGTATCAGACTGTTTTGGTTACTGTAGCTCTGCAGTATAGTTTGAAGTTGTGTAATGTGATACCTCCAGCTTTGTTCTTTTTGCTTAGGACTTCCTTGGCTACCCACACTTTTTTGGTTCCATATGAATTTTAAGGTAGTTTTTTCTAGTTCTGTGAAAAATGTTCTTGGTAGTTTGATAGGAATAGCATTCAATGTGTAAATTGCTTTGGGCAGTTTGGCTATTTTGATGATACTGATTCTTCCTATCCATGAGCATGTTTTTCCATTTGTTTTGTCTTCTGATTTCTTTGACCAGTGTTTTGTAATTCTCATTGTAGAAATCTTTTACTTCCCCTCCCTGGTTAGCTGTATTCCCAGGTATTTTATTCTTTCTGTGGCAATTGTGAATGGGATTGCCTTTCTGATTTGGCTCTTGACTTGGCTCTTATTGGTATAAAGAAATGCTAGTGCTTTCTGTACACTGATTTTGTATCCTGAAAGTTTGCTGATGTTATCAGTTGAAGGAGCTTCTGGGCCGAGACTATGGAGTTTTCTATAGAATCATGTTATCTGCAAACAGGGATAGAATTACTTCCTCTCTTCCTATTTGGGATGTTCTTTCTCTTGCCTGATTGCTCTGGTTAGGACTTCCAATACTATATAGGATAGGAGTGGTAAAAGACAGCATCCTTGTCTTGTGCCAGTTTTCAAGGGAAATACTACCAGCTTTTGCCCATTCAGTATGATGCTGACTGTGGGTTTGTCGTAGATGGCTCTTATTATTTTGAAGTTTTCCTTCAATATCTAGTATATTTAGTGTTTTTAACATCAAGGGGTATTGAGTTTGATCAAAAGCCTTTTCTGCATCGATTGAGATAAACATGCGGTTTTTGTCTTTAATTCTGTTTATGGGATGAGTCACATTTACTGATTTGCATATTTGAACCAACCTTGCATCCCAGGGATGAAGCCTACTTGGTTGTGGTAGATTAGCTTTTCGAAATGCTATTAGATTTGGTTTCCATGCATTTTGGTGATTTTTGCATCAATGTTCATCAAGAATATTGGCCTGAAGTTTTCTTTTGTTCCTATGTCTCTGACAGGTTTTTAGTATCAAGATGATGCTGGCCTCACAGAATGAATCGGAGAAGAGTCCCTCCTCAATGTTTTGAAAGGGTTTCAGTAGAAACCGTACCAGCTCTTCTTTGTACATCCAGTAGAATTCAGTTGTGAATCCATCAGGTACTGAGCTTTTTTCGGTTGGTAGGCTATGTATTACTGATTCAATTTGGGAGCTTATTATTGGCCTGTTCAGTTTATTCCTGGTTCAGCTTTGGGAGGCTGTATGTGTCCAGGAATTTGTCTTTTCTAGGTTTCCATTTGCGTGCCTAGAGATGTCCTTAGTAGTTTCTGATGTTTATTTTTATTTCTGTGGGGTCAGTGGTAACATCCCATTTGTCATTTCTAATTGTGCTTATTTGGAACTTCTCTCTTTTCTTCTTCATTAGTCAAGCATGGGTTTCTGGGGTCACACATTTACTCACCACTTCCCTGGGCAGCAGAGGTTCCCCTGACTGTCACTCCTTGGTGGGCTGTTATCCTGCCTTGCTTTATGCCATTCTCTATGGGTCAAGTTGTTTCCCTGATTAGTCCC